TAGCCAAATTAGCCCCCATCATACTGTATGTATAGTTGGGGTTATTTTTCCCGATGTGCATTACTTTACACTTACCCACATTACATTTCATTTGCCATTTTGTTGCCCAATCACTCAGTTTGGTGAGATCTTCTTGGAGTCCCTCACAGTCTGCTTCTGTCTTGGCTATCCTAAACAGTTTGGTATCATCTGCAAACTTTACTACCTCACTGCTTACCCCTTTCTCCAGATCATTTATGAATAAGTTGAAAAGGATTGGTCCCAGGACTGACCCTTGGGGTACACCACTAGTTACCCCTCTCCAATCTGAAAATTTACCATTTATTCCTACCCTTTGTTTCCTGTCTTTTAACCAGTTCTCAATCCAAGAAAGGACCTTCCTTCTTATCCCATGGCCATGTAATTTACACAAGAGCCTTTGGTGAGGGTGGGGGTGCTGATGTGGCACAAGGCACAAGTGAAGACAACGTAGTAACTGTCTTTTCTTCTGCCCCTCAGCTATGCTCCCGAGGCAAGTGCCTCACTCTTCTCATCCTTGTTACGGCCCTATACTTGGCCTTACATTTCTCTTCTTTTGGATTTGTTTTCCCAGGATCCCGAGGACAAGAAATTACAGTACGTGGGACAGAAACCAGCCACTGTTTCACTGGCCTTTCACCAGACACAGAGTACAATGCTACTGTCTTTGTTCAGACCCCTAACCTTGAGGGACCTCCCGTCTCTATAAAGGAGCGCACATGTAAGTCAGGGGCAATATGAACAAAGAGTGTGAGCGGGATGAGATGAGAATCTTAACTCTTGTTTTACACTACCACTTCTGAGGGTCAGTTCTCCTGTGTCTCTAAGCGTAAGTCAGTGGGAAACTTCTTGAAATGTGGAACAATGAATAGTAATTATTTGGGGCAAATTTAAATGGAGTATTACCTTGCTAAGGTTAATCCCATTGGGAAGTAACCACAGAGAGAGAGAGGAAGAGATTTCTCCGTTTGTATAAAAGTGGCAGAATTTGGCCCCTTGTCATATTAAGAACTAACTTCTGTAAAAGCAGATTTTTCTTTGATGATGAGGAATTCTGTAGCCTTCATCAGCAGTAAAAGCCTGGATAGTGTTTTCCTCAGTCATATACAGGGAGAGTCACAGGGCTGGAATCTTTTCTTGAGTCAAATGTTCTTTTAAATAAAAGGTTTTAATTGTTTTACTTCAGTCATCAAACCAACTGAAGCACCAACTCCACCACCTACTCCTCCTCCGCCTCCCACAATCCCGCCAGCTCGGGATGGTAAGTGTGCATTGTTCATTCATGGTATATTTTACCTTATTTGCTGCATGTCCGCAAACTCAAAGGTTAGATATGTTGCCTAAATTGAAATAATTTTTTAAAATGTATGGCCTTGATGATCCTCCGGCCCATTTTAGCCCTGTGCACCAGTTCTGACACTATCCCCTGTCTGTTGTAGACAGGAGAATGAAGCCTAGGCCTTATTCCCTTTATTCTAACTATTTGCCATGGTGCTGCATTGGGCTTAAATAGCTAGCCATTATCTACTAGACATGTGAATAGATTTGGGGGAATGGGTTGGACTCTTAGTATGCAATGTGTATTTGTGAGCTTTGCCTTTAGTGTGTGGACCTGTTTTTGGTGTAGATGTCCAAGAAAATCAGTGTTAAGTTTCACTTTTCAGGGTTTTGTTTCATATTAATTTTTTGCACATATATGCCAAGATTTGACCTGGGGTGTCAAATGTACTACGTGAACATCTACAAAATTTAAGATACATGCAAGAGAAACACTCTTATTGTATTTAAGAGTAGCCTACAGATTGAAAATATGGCTGAAGTTTGATGAATGTTTGCTCATCATTCTTTAAAATGATCAGAACAGCGCTATTTTGTGCACAGCCCCAAATGAGGGGGTGTGCTTTAAGAGTTCATCAAGCTGTGTTTAACTTTCAGTATGCAAAGGTGCCAAAGCAGATATCGTGTTCCTGACTGATGCTTCCTGGAGCATTGGTGATGATAATTTCAACAAAGTAGTGAAATTTGTTTTTAATACTGTTGGAGCCTTTGACTTAATCAACCCTGCTGGAATTCAGGTGGGTAATTTCCATTAAATTAATTTTCAGGGAAATTAAACTAATCAACTGAATTCTTAGTCTCCTCTGCCCTTTTCCTCTGTGTAGAACTTTTGCTAGTTATTATGGTAATATCTTGCATGTGTATTTATGTGCACTCTGCTGTACAAAAATAAAGGAAAACACAGTCCCGCTCTAGAAGAGCCGACACCCTGAAAGACAAAAGGCGGATGGCAAGCAGATGAAAGAATCAGCATACAGCAGAGTGGCCAGGGTGCTCTGTGGTCAGTTGCATATTTTTGTTTATTTGCACATGTAAAATATTCTCAGTTGCCACTCTCCATAGTTGTTAGGAGCGGGCTAATTTTTAGTGTATACACAGAAGTGGGCTTTGAGAAGGAGTGTGATGATGAGCAAGGGTAATGTCTTGGTTTGTCAATTCAGGAAAGATGTTGCATGTGTAGTGGGCAGAAGAGAGCATGGAAAGTTAAAGTAGAGGATTAACTGGAGGAAATTGGATGTACCTATAAAGAGAAAGCTATAATGAATAGCGGGGAGACTAAAATGGCTTGTCTTCCCTTCTGGGGTCCTTTATGTGTCACTGTCAGACTTTGGAGAAGCTCGTTGCTTAGTGGGAGGTGAATGGCATGAGTAAGGAAGTCTCTGGAGCTTTGCAAAGACTGGCTGGGGCAAGACTGTCTTCCCATGTGGTGGAAGAAGACAAGTGATTTTCCTTGGAAGAATATTTTCTTTCTGTTTTCCTAAAAATGCTGCACCTAGTTTTCTTGCTCGTGGACAGCTCTCTCCTCACCTATGTATGCCTCTAAGTCATTGGTTCCCCATATTTCATTCTGCAGACATATTTCTAGAGACAAAGACGCCCTCTCTAGGATCTCCATCCTGCCTAACTCTGCTCTTACACTGCCTGATTTTAAAAATGTCGTCTTTGTCCCAACAGGACAGTTGCTGCAAATTAGCTGGAGGAGAATAGCTATGAACTTTCTGGGCTTAATAGGGAAAGATTTAAAGCTCCTTTCCTCTTTTATTGTGGGCTAGTTACACATTGTTAGTTCTTCATTTTAGATATTTATGATTGTTATGAAAGATAAACTTATTCCAATAAGTATATGAATATGTAGACATCTGTTCAGGACTAGCTTAGAAAGATGTGGTTATTATCAATGGGATATACTACAAGGAAATGGAAAATGAAATATATATGATATGCATTGGAGTAATTTCAGAACATTCACTGTAGGTTTGCACAGTTTCGTACAAATGTATAAGATGAATTAATATTCCAGTTCAGCAAGTATATTATGCTTTATGTATCAAATGACTGAAATTCTGGTCACATTCTCTGTTGATTGCTATGTCATGAACGCCTTGCATTTCCTTGATATCTGTACCAATCCCCGTGTAGGCACCATATCCCCAGTTTGAAATAGAGAACCAGGACTAAATATGGTTCCGTCATAGTTATAACAAGTATTTTATCATTCAGTCATTAACAAATAAGTTTTACCATTTTATATCCATATTAATATGTAACTTTAGCCACTGGTTTTCCTGTTTTTCAATAGTAATCGACAAGAACATAATTCACAAGTCTGAGGCTGAACACTTTGATGCATTTCATTTCAGGTTTCCTTTGTGCAGTACAGCGATGAAGCAAAGTCTGAGTTTAAACTGAATACGTATGACGACAAGGCTCAGGCTCTAGGGGCACTTCAGCATATTCAGTACAGAGGAGGAAATACAAGAACAGGTACGTCTGACAAATATATAATCCTTCCCCATTGTCGTTTTTTTTGAAAATGCATTCATAATCTTAATCTGGTGTAGTTAAGGCCAAAGCTTTATAGTCTACTCTTGTATCAGAAGGGTAGCCATGTTAGTCTGTATCTGCAAAAACAATGGGAGTCCTGTGGAACCTTAGTCCTGATCTACATTAGTCTACAGTACTAAACCCATTATTTCAAAATAAGGGGCTGATTATTTCAAAATAATAACTCCTGCTTATCATAAGTGATAAGGCTTATTTCGAAATACTTATTTTGAAATAGCCGTAATGTGGACGCTTCACTGCTGCTATTTCAAAATAATTACTCCCCGGAGTCATTCAAAGTAATTACTCTCCAGTGCTTCCTGGGGCACTGTAGTGCATCCACATTTAGAGAGCCTGTCTCAGACTAATTTTGAGGCTTCCTTCTAGTGTGGACATGCTATTTCAAAATAGTTATTTTGGGAGTTATTATTTCAAAATAATTTCCTAATGTAGACATGCCCTTAGACACTAAGGGTACGTCTACACTTGCCCCCTAGTTCGAACTAGGGAGGCAAATGAAGGCTACCGAAGTTGCTAATGAAGTGTGGGATTTAAATATCCCGTGCTTGATTAGCATAGTTGTGGCCGGTTGCCATTTTGGAAATTGACCAGCCTGATTTAACTTGCTGCGTATAGAAGCAGTACTCCGAGAAAAACTCCTCAGGAGTACCAGTTAATTCGAGTTAAGGGGTTTTTCTTGGAGTACCACGGCTATACGCGGCAAGTTAAATCGTGCTAGTCAATTTCCAAAGTGGCGACTGGCCGCGACTATGCTAATCAAGCACGGGATATTTAAATCCCACACTTCATTAGCAACTTCGGTCGCCTTCATTTGCCTCCCTAGTTCGAACTAGGGGGCAAGTGTAGACGTACCCTAACAGATTTGTTTGGTCATAAGCTTTTGTAGGCAAAACCCCACTTTGTCAGAAGCATGAAAAAAATCATGGAGTGGAAATTAGAGGCAGGCATAAATATATGAGCACATGAAAAGAAGATAGTCACCTTATCAAGTGGAGGGCCAGTACTAATGAGGCCAATTCAGTTCAAGTGGTTGTGACTCACTCCAGCAGTTGATGAGGAGGTGTGAATACCAAGAGAGTGAAAATTGCTTTTGTAGTGAGCCAGCCAATTCCAGTCCTTATTCAAACTCAGATGAATTGTGTCAAGTTTTCAGAGGAATTGCAGCTCTTCAAGATCTTTAAAATCTTTTTTGAAGGTTTTTTTGTTGTTGAAGGATGGTCACCTTTAAATCTGTAACTGTGTCCAGGGAGACTAAAGTTTTTTTCTACTGATAGTGTATGTTACTATTCTTGATGTCTGATTTGTGTCCATTTATTCTTTTGCATAGATATTGTCCATTTTGGCTAGAGGGGCATTGCTGACAAATGATAGCATATATCACATTTGTAGATGTGCAAGTGAATGAGCCCCCTGATGATGTGGCTAATGTTATTATGTCTTACAATGGTGTTGCTTGAGACATACGGAGGCAAACTTGGCCATGGGATTTGTTGCAGGGCTTGGTTCCTGGGTTAGTGTTTCTGTGGTGTGGTGTGTAGTTGCTGGTGAATATTTGCTTCAGGTTGGGGATCTGTTTATAAGTGAGGACTGGCCTGTCTCCCAAGTTCTTTGAGAGTGAGGGATTGTTTTCCAAGATAGGTTATAGTTCATTGAGGATGTGCTGGAGAGGTTTTCGCTGGGGAATGTAGGTGGTGACCAGTGATGTTCTGCTATTTTCCTTGTTGGGCCTGTCTAATAGTAGGTGATTTCTAGGTACCCATCTGCCTCTGTCCATCTGTTTCTTCACTTCCCCGGTGAGTATTGTAATTTTAAGAATGCTTGATAAAGATCTATCTGAGGGATTGGAGCAAATGCAGTTGTATCTCAGGGCTTGGATGTAGGCAGTGGATCATGTGATGTGTCCTGGCTGGAGGCAGGTAGGTAAGTATAGTGGTCAGTAGGTTTCCAGGATAGGGTGGTGTTTATGTGGCCATTGCTTATTTGCACTGTAGTGTCCAGGAAGTGGATCTCTTGTTTGGACTGGTCCAGGCTGAGGTTAAGGGTGGAGTGGAAATTGTTGAAATCCTGGTGGAATTATTCAAGGTCCTCCTTTCTGTGGGTCCATATGATGAAGATGTTGTCAATTAGTATAAATAGAGGAGCGGCACTAGGGGACGAGAGCTGAGGAAGCATTGTTGTGAGTCAGTCATTAAAATGTTGGCATACTGTGTGGCCATGTGGGTGTCTATAGCAGCACCACTGATTTGAAGGTATAAATTGTTCCCAAATCGTAAATGGTTGTGGGTGAGGACAAAGACACATAACTCAGCCACCAGGTATGCTGTGGCATCATCGGGGATACAGTTCCTGATAGCTATATCCAGTATCTAGGATAGTGTTTCAGGAAGATCACCAATGCATTGTAGTTTCCTCAGGAAGTCAGTGGTGTCTCAAAGACACCTATGGTGGTAGCATAGGCTCCTAGGAGAGTCCACATAACCAGACAGTCCTGCTGTAAGGATGCCAGTTCCTGAGATGATGGGATGTCCATGATTTCCAGGTTTCTGGATCTTGGTTAGCAGATAAAATAACCCTAATCAGGCTCTAGTGATGCATCTGTGTAGATTTGTTCCAGTGCTTTTGCAGGGAGTTTCTTGAGCAGATGGTGTAGTTTCTTTTGGTATTCCTCAGTGGAATCAGAGGAAAGTGGCCTGTGGAATGTAGTATTGGAAAGTTGCCTGGCAACCTCCTGTTCGTAATCTGACCTATTCATGATGACAGCAGCACCTCGTTTGTCAACCTCTTTGATTATAATGTCAGAGTTTTTTCTGAGGCTGTGGATGGTGTTGCATTCTGCATGGCTGAGGTTATGGGGCAAGTGATATTTGTTCACAATTTTAGCCGATGCACATCTGCTGACGCACTCCTAAATAGAAGTCCAGTCTGTTGTTTCAACTATCAGGAGGAGTCATTGCAGATTTTCTACTTCTTGTAGTGTTGGTAAGAGGGTTCCTGTGGGTCAGCGCACTGTTCAGTGGCATGTTGGAAATATTCCTTGAGTTGGGAAATGGCAAAAGTAGGATTTGAGATCACCGCAGAACTGTATAATGTTTGTGGGGCACATTGTGGAGACAGGACGGACTCTTCTGCTGGGCTAACTGTGTTGTTGGATAAAGTAACAATATTATTGGGTGAGGTAACGATACCACTGCTGTGACTCCCATGGCATGCAGGAATTTAGAGTTTACTTTTTCTTCTTAGTGAATTAAAGTGAGCATTGTAAATGGTGTGTCTTGTTTTTGTAAAGTCCAGCCACGTGGAAGTTTATGCAGAAGGTTGTTTTTTATGAGAGTCTCCAGTTTGGAGAATTCATTCTTGATTGTCTCCTGTTTGCTGTACAGGATGCTGATCAGGTGGTTTCACAGTTCCTTTGAGAGTGTGGGGCACAATCTTTCACCATAGTCTATATAGCATGTCAAATGAAAAAGATTTTTCACCTTCCCTCCATCGGGTATGATGTCCATCTCTTTGCACTTGGAGAGGAAGATGATGTCTGTCTGTATCTATGCAAGTTTTTTCATGAAGTTGATGGATTTCCACTTCCTACATCTAAATTCAGTGGCTTGCATGGTGACAAGTATCAGAGTATCATGTTAGTCTGTATCTGCAAAAACAACAAGGAGTCCTGTGGCACTTTAAAGACTAATAAATTTATTTGGGCATAAGCTTTCATGGGTAAAACCTCACTTCATCAGATGCAACATGCATCTGATGAAGTGGGTTTTCGGCCACAAAAGCTTATGCTCAAGTAAACTGTTGCTCTTTAAGGAACCATAGGACTCTTCGGATATTTTTCTACTCTTATTGGTTCTATCCTGTTTTTCTTTGAGAAAGATATGTTCAGTGGCAAATGTTGCCTGCATGAGTCCTCACTCTTTGTGCAATTTGCAGGCAAAGCCCTTACATTTATCAAAGAAAAAGTTTTGACTTGGGAGAGTGGCATGAGGAGAGGTGTGCCCAAAGTACTCGTCGTTGTCACAGATGGTCGGTCACAAGATGAAGTTAAGAAAGCAGCAGCAATCATACAGCACTCTGGTAAGCAACCTATAGAACGTAGTTATTGACCTTTGTTTTACTAAAGAGTTTAAGTCATGCAATTCAAAATGTGGGCACATAATATTATCAGGTATTGCTGGTCATTTATTCATCATAAGAAAGACATGTCCTAAATGAGAGATTGGAATTGCATGTATGGTTTGGAATGGTTCAAACTATTTTAAGAATGATAAGTCTGATTGGACCTGACTCTTGCCTTTTCTCTTTCTGTGGACAAATCTGGCTTAAATGGTTTGTCTGGAATTCCACTTGGACAGTTCCTATTCCTGGGTTAGGAGGAGGAGTTGGTCCCTTCTTAGATGCACCGAGTGTAGTTTACTGTACCCGAAGATCTTTTAGTGCATATTTTGGCATAATAAAAAGCAGCCTTTTGGCTTGTTTCCTATGTAAGCATCTGTTTTGCTTCCTTACCTTAGCTCTGTTTCTTTCTATCTGTTGATTAAGCCTCAGGTAGTTTGTTACTTTGGAATTCTGTATTTGTCCTTTTTGGGTTTCATATCAGTGATTAAAATTTGTTAAATTGGCCAACGTCAGCCCTAGTTTAAGCAAACTATGCTAAAATCATACAATTACAGGGCTGATTCTAGCCCTCAACTTGTTTTTGTATCATGCTTGTTTTGATTGCTCTTCCCTGTCTTTTGGTGTATCGGGGGGCGGGGGTTGGAGGAGAAAGGAAGTGGTAGAGGAGTATAGAAGGAGAAAAGGCAGAGGAGTAAGCAAGAGCAGAGATGTAGGCAGAGACAAAATTGTGCAAAGTCCAAAAGCTAAAGATCAGTAACATTGATGTGCAAGGAGAAAGCCATTGGAAGGATTTGAAGAGGAGAATGACATGATTGAAAAGGCAGATGATGACGATAAGTTTAGCTGTGATGATTTGGACGGACTACAAGAGTCAGATGGAAATCAAGATGCCCAGAAAGTATGAGACTTGAACAGTAAGGCAGGGTGTAGCTAAAGTATACAGTAGATAAGAATTTTAGACACAGGGACAGAAAGGAAGAGCCAGCTTTTTGAGATGTTTTAGAACAGACAGAATTTAGTGGCAGCCTGAATGTTTTGTATAACAGAGTAAACAAAACTCTGTGACACCAACATTGTGAGCTTAGTGATGGGAAGAATGATGATATTGTCCAATAGCATTGGAAAGAAGGGGTGTGAGTTTTGTTAAAGATGTGAGGAGCTCATCATAAGCCTTGTTGGGTTTAATTAGGTAATCCAATACCCAGAGTACATATCAGAAAGATAGTCAGATGCAAGTCTGTGTGCAGCAGGAGAGGTCAGGGACAGAAAAGACCTGAACTGTTGGTGTGGCGATGACTATTGAAGTTTGGTGTGTGAATGAGTTGCCCTAGGGTTAAACTAGAGAAAGAAACCCATAGAGAACCAAACAGTAGAATCTTGAGGGTTGCCAAAAGTGTGGGAAAGGAGAGGAAGAAGAGAACTGAAAGGAGCAATCCAAGAGGCAGGGGAGGAATCCAGGATGAGAAAGTGATCAGTGGTGTTTACAGTGGAAGAGTACTTTTTTAAATCATCCTTTTTATTTAAACTACTTTTTGAATATTTGTCTTGGGAGAAAACTAGAACTGGTATTGTCTTCATTTCCCCTCATCTGTCTTCCCTTAATGTTTACAGGCTCCTTCTCATAAGATAATACTGTGCATTAGAAGACAATTCATTTGCTATTTTGCTTTCTGGGGGTTATATAGTAGTTATTTAATATCAGAATATCCAGGGTTTCTAGTCAGTCTTTCCTAGTTCCAAATAAATGAGGACAGCCAAGTTCTTCATTGACATAAGTTTCTTCACCCTCATCTTGCAAAAAGGAGATGTTCAGAATAGAATATACTTTCCTCTTCTTGATTCAGGGAGTTTAGCTGTGAACTTCTGATCTAAATTTGTGCTTAGATGTTAGTGCATCTTTTCCTTGGGTGTTCAGTCCTCTAACTCATAGATGCATCCCTTTCAGCCACTTATTTAGCACTAGCAAGAACATGTAAAAAGACTCCTTATGCTTTGTGCAGCTGAATAATTCCATAACAGAACTTCCCTTCCCTCCAGGACATGAGCCTTTGCATCACATTTTTGCCAATGGTTTAATTAATCCTTTTTTTGTTTCATCAAGATAGGGATTTAAATATCCCGTGCTTGATTAGCATAGTTGTGGCCGGTTGCCATTTTGGAAATTGACCAGCCTGATTTAACTTGCTGCGTATAGAAGCAGTACTCCGAGAAAAACTCCTCAGGAGTACCAGTTAATTCGAGTTAAGGGGTTTTTCTTGGAGTACCACGGCTATACGCGGCAAGTTAAATCGTGCTAGTCAATTTCCAAAGTGGCGACTGGCCGCGACTATGCTAATCAAGCACGGGATATTTAAATCCCACACTTCATTAGCAACTTCGGTAGCCTTCATTTGCCTCCCTAGTTCGAACTAGGGGGCAAGTGTAGACGTACCCTAACAGATTTGTTTGGTCATAAGCTTTTGTAGGCAAAACCCCACTTTGTCAGAAGCATGAAAAAAATCATGGAGTGGAAATTAGAGGCAGGCATAAATATATGAGCACATGAAAAGAAGATAGTCACCTTATCAAGTGGAGGGCCAGTACTAATGAGGCCAATTCAGTTCAAGTGGTTGTGACTCACTCCAGCAGTTGATGAGGAGGTGTGAATACCAAGAGAGTGAAAATTGCTTTTGTAGTGAGCCAGCCAATTCCAGTCCTTATTCAAACTCAGATGAATTGTGTCAAGTTTTCAGAGGAATTGCAGCTCTTCAAGATCTTTAAAATCTTTTTTGAAGGTTTTTTTGTTGTTGAAGGATGGTCACCTTTAAATCTGTAACTGTGTCCAGGGAGACTAAAGTTTTTTTCTACTGATAGTGTATGTTACTATTCTTGATGTCTGATTTGTGTCCATTTATTCTTTTGCATAGATATTGTCCATTTTGGCTAGAGGGGCATTGCTGACAAATGATAGCATATATCACATTTGTAGATGTGCAAGTGAATGAGCCCCCTGATGATGTGGCTAATGTTATTATGTCTTACAATGGTGTTGCTTGAGACATACGGAGGCAAACTTGGCCATGGGATTTGTTGCAGGGCTTGGTTCCTGGGTTAGTGTTTCTGTGGTGTGGTGTGTAGTTGCTGGTGAATATTTGCTTCAGGTTGGGGATCTGTTTATAAGTGAGGACTGGCCTGTCTCCCAAGTTCTTTGAGAGTGAGGGATTGTTTTCCAAGATAGGTTATAGTTCATTGAGGATGTGCTGGAGAGGTTTTCGCTGGGGAATGTAGGTGGTGACCAGTGATGTTCTGCTATTTTCCTTGTTGGGCCTGTCTAATAGTAGGTGATTTCTAGGTACCCATCTGCCTCTGTCCATCTGTTTCTTCACTTCCCCGGTGAGTATTGTAATTTTAAGAATGCTTGATAAAGATCTATCTGAGGGATTGGAGCAAATGCAGTTGTATCTCAGGGCTTGGATGTAGGCAGTGGATCATGTGATGTGTCCTGGCTGGAGGCAGGTAGGTAAGTATAGTGGTCAGTAGGTTTCCAGGATAGGGTGGTGTTTATGTGGCCATTGCTTATTTGCACTGTAGTGTCCAGGAAGTGGATCTCTTGTTTGGACTGGTCCAGGCTGAGGTTAAGGGTGGAGTGGAAATTGTTGAAATCCTGGTGGAATTATTCAAGGTCCTCCTTTCTGTGGGTCCATATGATGAAGATGTTGTCAATTAGTATAAATAGAGGAGCGGCACTAGGGGACGAGAGCTGAGGAAGCATTGTTGTGAGTCAGTCATTAAAATGTTGGCATACTGTGTGGCCATGTGGGTGTCTATAGCAGCACCACTGATTTGAAGGTATAAATTGTTCCCAAATCGTAAATGGTTGTGGGTGAGGACAAAGACACATAACTCAGCCACCAGGTATGCTGTGGCATCATCGGGGATACAGTTCCTGATAGCTATATCCAGTATCTAGGATAGTGTTTCAGGAAGATCACCAATGCATTGTAGTTTCCTCAGGAAGTCAGTGGTGTCTCAAAGACACCTATGGTGGTAGCATAGGCTCCTAGGAGAGTCCACATAACCAGACAGTCCTGCTGTAAGGATGCCAGTTCCTGAGATGATGGGATGTCCATGATTTCCAGGTTTCTGGATCTTGGTTAGCAGATAAAATAACCCTAATCAGGCTCTAGTGATGCATCTGTGTAGATTTGTTCCAGTGCTTTTGCAGGGAGTTTCTTGAGCAGATGGTGTAGTTTCTTTTGGTATTCCTCAGTGGAATCAGAGGAAAGTGGCCTGTGGAATGTAGTATTGGAAAGTTGCCTGGCAACCTCCTGTTCGTAATCTGACCTATTCATGATGACAGCAGCACCTCGTTTGTCAACCTCTTTGATTATAATGTCAGAGTTTTTTCTGAGGCTGTGGATGGTGTTGCATTCTGCATGGCTGAGGTTATGGGGCAAGTGATATTTGTTCACAATTTTAGCCGATGCACATCTGCTGACGCACTCCTAAATAGAAGTCCAGTCTGTTGTTTCAACTATCAGGAGGAGTCATTGCAGATTTTCTACTTCTTGTAGTGTTGGTAAGAGGGTTCCTGTGGGTCAGCGCACTGTTCAGTGGCATGTTGGAAATATTCCTTGAGTTGGGAAATGGCAAAAGTAGGATTTGAGATCACCGCAGAACTGTATAATGTTTGTGGGGCACATTGTGGAGACAGGACGGACTCTTCTGCTGGGCTAACTGTGTTGTTGGATAAAGTAACAATATTATTGGGTGAGGTAACGATACCACTGCTGTGACTCCCATGGCATGCAGGAATTTAGAGTTTACTTTTTCTTCTTAGTGAATTAAAGTGAGCATTGTAAATGGTGTGTCTTGTTTTTGTAAAGTCCAGCCACGTGGAAGTTTATGCAGAAGGTTGTTTTTTATGAGAGTCTCCAGTTTGGAGAATTCATTCTTGATTGTCTCCTGTTTGCTGTACAGGATGCTGATCAGGTGGTTTCACAGTTCCTTTGAGAGTGTGGGGCACAATCTTTCACCATAGTCTATATAGCATGTCAAATGAAAAAGATTTTTCACCTTCCCTCCATCGGGTATGATGTCCATCTCTTTGCACTTGGAGAGGAAGATGATGTCTGTCTGTATCTATGCAAGTTTTTTCATGAAGTTGATGGATTTCCACTTCCTACATCTAAATTCAGTGGCTTGCATGGTGACAAGTATCAGAGTATCATGTTAGTCTGTATCTGCAAAAACAACAAGGAGTCCTGTGGCACTTTAAAGACTAATAAATTTATTTGGGCATAAGCTTTCATGGGTAAAACCTCACTTCATCAGATGCAACATGCATCTGATGAAGTGGGTTTTCGGCCACAAAAGCTTATGCTCAAGTAAACTGTTGCTCTTTAAGGAACCATAGGACTCTTCGGATATTTTTCTACTCTTATTGGTTCTATCCTGTTTTTCTTTGAGAAAGATATGTTCAGTGGCAAATGTTGCCTGCATGAGTCCTCACTCTTTGTGCAATTTGCAGGCAAAGCCCTTACATTTATCAAAGAAAAAGTTTTGACTTGGGAGAGTGGCATGAGGAGAGGTGTGCCCAAAGTACTCGTCGTTGTCACAGATGGTCGGTCACAAGATGAAGTTAAGAAAGCAGCAGCAATCATACAGCACTCTGGTAAGCAACCTATAGAACGTAGTTATTGACCTTTGTTTTACTAAAGAGTTTAAGTCATGCAATTCAAAATGTGGGCACATAATATTATCAGGTATTGCTGGTCATTTATTCATCATAAGAAAGACATGTCCTAAATGAGAGATTGGAATTGCATGTATGGTTTGGAATGGTTCAAACTATTTTAAGAATGATAAGTCTGATTGGACCTGACTCTTTCCTTTTCTCTTTCTGTGGACAAATCTGGCTTAAATGGTTTGTCTGGAATTCCACTTGGACAGTTCCTATTCCTGGGTTAGGAGGAGGAGTTGGTCCCTTCTTAGATGCACCGAGTGTAGTTTACTGTACCCGAAGATCTTTTAGTGCATATTTTGGCATAATAAAAAGCAGCCTTTTGGCTTGTTTCCTATGTAAGCATCTGTTTTGCTTCCTTACCTTAGCTCTGTTTCTTTCTATCTGTTGATTAAGCCTCAGGTAGTTTGTTACTTTGGAATTCTGTATTTGTCCTTTTTGGGTTTCATATCAGTGATTAAAATTTGTTAAATTGGCCAACGTCAGCCCTAGTTTAAGCAAACTATGCTAAAATCATACAATTACAGGGCTGATTCTAGCCCTCAACTTGTTTTTGTATCATGCTTGTTTTGATTGCTCTTCCCTGTCTTTTGGTGTATCGGGGGGCGGGGGTTGGAGGAGAAAGGAAGTGGTAGAGGAGTATAGAAGGAGAAAAGGCAGAGGAGTAAGCAAGAGCAGAGATGTAGGCAGAGACAAAATTGTGCAAAGTCCAAAAGCTAAAGATCAGTAACATTGATGTGCAAGGAGAAAGCCATTGGAAGGATTTGAAGAGGAGAATGACATGATTGAAAAGGCAGATGATGACGATAAGTTTAGCTGTGATGATTTGGACGGACTACAAGAGTCAGATGGAAATCAAGATGCCCAGAAAGTATGAGACTTGAACAGTAAGGCAGGGTGTAGCTAAAGTATACAGTAGATAAGAATTTTAGACACAGGGACAGAAAGGAAGAGCCAGCTTTTTGAGATGTTTTAGAACAGACAGAATTTAGTGGCAGCCTGAATGTTTTGTATAACAGAGTAAACAAAACTCTGTGACACCAACATTGTGAGCTTAGTGATGGGAAGAATGATGATATTGTCCAATAGCATTGGAAAGAAGGGGTGTGAGTTTTGTTAAAGATGTGAGGAGCTCATCATAAGCCTTGTTGGGTTTAATTAGGTAATCCAATACCCAGAGTACATATCAGAAAGATAGTCAGATGCAAGTCTGTGTGCAGCAGGAGAGGTCAGGGACAGAAAAGACCTGAACTGTTGGTGTGGCGATGACTATTGAAGTTTGGTGTGTGAATGAGTTGCCCTAGGGTTAAACTAGAGAAAGAAACCCATAGAGAACCAAACAGTAGAATCTTGAGGGTTGCCAAAAGTGTGGGAAAGGAGAGGAAGAAGAGAACTGAAAGGAGCAATCCAAGAGGCAGGGGAGGAATCCAGGATGAGAAAGTGATCAGTGGTGTTTACAGTGGAAGAGTACTTTTTTAAATCATCCTTTTTATTTAAACTACTTTTTGAATATTTGTCTTGGGAGAAAACTAGAACTGGTATTGTCTTCATTTCCCCTCATCTGTCTTCCCTTAATGTTTACAGGCTCCTTCTCATAAGATAATACTGTGCATTAGAAGACAATTCATTTGCTATTTTGCTTTCTGGGGGTTATATAGTAGTTATTTAATATCAGAATATCCAGGGTTTCTAGTCAGTCTTTCCTAGTTCCAAATAAATGAGGACAGCCAAGTTCTTCATTGACATAAGTTTCTTCACCCTCATCTTGCAAAAAGGAGATGTTCAGAATAGAATATACTTTCCTCTTCTTGATTCAGGGAGTTTAGCTGTGAACTTCTGATCTAAATTTGTGCTTAGATGTTAGTGCATCTTTTCCTTGGGTGTTCAGTCCTCTAACTCATAGATGCATCCCTTTCAGCCACTTATTTAGCACTAGCAAGAACATGTAAAAAGACTCCTTATGCTTTGTGCAGCTGAATAATTCCATAACAGAACTTCCCTTCCCTCCAGGACATGAGCCTTTGCATCACATTTTTGCCAATGGTTTAATTAATCCTTTTTTTGTTTCATCAAGATAATGGAGAAAGAGTTTGTTATTTTGACACCACTTGGTCAAAAGGATATTGGATATTCATCTCTTTTGGGTTATAGTTTATTCTACATTTTATTGGGAAACAACAAAGGGACTGGTTTCAACCAGAAGTATATTCTACTTGTGTTACCCGGTTCTTGTATTTTTAACATGGAATATAATATCTCTATGTGATTGGGGTTTGACATTGAGTTACTGAGCTAATGACAATGTATGAGGATGTATATTCCTTGCATTTTCATTTTATAAACATTATTTTTGTAGGTTTCAGCGTCTTTGTTATTGGCGTAGCTGACGTGGATTACAATGAGCTGGCAAAGATTGGCAGCAAGCCCAGTGAACGTCACGTGTTTATTGTCGATGATTTTGATGCCTTTGAAAAGATAGAGGAGAACCTCCTCACTTTTATTTGTGAGACAGCTACCTCAAGTAAGTAAGGGACAACTTTTCTCTCACAAGGCAATAACTCTGACTATGTGCTGCTGCAGCTTTCATGACCAGGCTTTTCCAGTTACACCTTTTTAAAATAAATGTTGATGTATATTTCCAGTGAGCAAGTGCATGTTTCTTATTTCAGTGGTTATTATAATTATTATCTTATCTCCCACCCTAATACTGTATTAAAAAGTGATTCAACAATAAGTGACAATTATTTCTCTTTGAAGAACAAGTAGAACAGTGTCTAAAGTGAACTTCTGGATGTGACAGATTTCCTCTTTACCACTGTTTCTTGGCTGCATTTGGGATGTAGCTCACAAGGGTCCAATATTACTTTTATAAAGATCTAAAATAAAATCCATCTGTTTACAGTCCTTCTATGGCAAAAAAGAAGAGATATTTGCACATGTATACTGTCTGCAACTATGTGTTCCCATCCTGCCTCCTTCACATATTACTAAGGAGCCATAAAAATCTACAGTTTTTCCTTGTGAATATGATGAATAATATGCAGTCTGACTCATGCATAAAAGATCCATGGAAAGATTGTGTCTTTGTGCCCATTTCTTTTTATGAATTGGGCTCTTAAAATAAATATACTTGAAGTTCATCTGTTTGCCATTCCGTATATTCCAACATGGTAGATTAAAAAGCACCATAAATAAGAATTTGAACATTTCACCGACATAATTAGAAATCTACTATTTGATTTTGAGCAGAATAAAGCATTGGATCACAAATATGATAATTATTTTAGTGGCAAATGTTGGCTGGCAAATCACAATAGTTCAAACTTATGAGAATAAAACCTTTTGAGAATATCTGTATGTAGATTATTCCATTTTTTTTAAATAACACATTGTTTTCATCTGTTTCAGCTTGTCCTCTCATTTACTTGGAGGGATATACTTCACCTGGTAAGAATCATATACAAACATTCTCTCTCAGGATAATTCTGAAGCTTTTTTTTCCCCATTTATCATAATTTATCCCAATTGAATTCCCTTCCCAAAGGTTTCAAGATGTTGGAATCATATAACCTAACAGAAAAGCATTTCGCCTCTGTACAAGGAGTATCAATGGAATCAGGATCATTCCCTAGCCATGTGGCATACAGGCTCCACAGAAATGCCTTCATCAGTCAGCCTACGTCGTAAGTTATCTATTTAACCTGTTTCTCTGGAACACTTTGGCTACATCTACACTGCAGGCTTCTTGCGCAAGAACTGTTTTGCGGAAGAGTTCTTGTGCAAAAGGTCTTCCATAAGAGCGCGTCCACATTGCTATGACCTTTTGTACAAGAGATGTGCTGTTGCGCAAAACTGTCCATGGCACTGTGGATGCTCTCTTGCGCAAGAAAGCTCTGATGGCCATTTTAGCCATAGAGGTTTCTTGCACAAGAAACTCCTGTTGCCTGTCTACACTGTCTTCTTGTGGAAGAGCTCTTGCGCAAGAGGGCTTATTCCTCATGGGGAGAGGAATAACTCTTCCAGAAGAAGCCCTGTTTTTCAACGCTGTACTGTAAATTTACTTACTCCAGAACACTCGTGCAGTATAGAAGCTCTGCATGTTTTTGTGCAAGAACATTTGTTCTTGCTCAAAAAGTGTGCAGTGTAGACGTAGCCTTTGTGTACGGGTGCAAGCGGGGAAAGATAAGAGAATTTGTAAGTGATAGGATTAATAATTGCTGAAGGATGTGTTTTTATTTTGTTTTTGTTTTTACTGAAATCCAAGAAATATACCCCGAAAAATGTGCAATCATTGCTTTGATTAAATGTTATTTGGTTCCTTTATTAGTGGTCTTTAAATTGTTAATTCCATCTTCATTGTGGTTGTTACTTCTATTATTCTAATGTTTAGGAGTCCCAGTTTTGCATCAGGACCCTATTCTGTTAGGCATTGTGTGAACACAGAACAAAAAGATAGTTCTTGTTCTTTTCTCAAGAAGATGCTTCATATAACCAAGTCTACTTTAGTTAATTAATTTAATCCGCATTACAGACCGTATGCAATGAAAAACTGGCCTTTGTCTGCTTGTACAAAAAACCCGCTTAGTTAGGAAGACTGGTTCTGATTCTAAGGCATAAGTACTATTTTTTAACAGTCGTAACAGGCAACACTCTTCTGCCTATGATCAGAGGTGTGTGACACCATCCGTCACCATATTGGACAAACGGATAAGATTTGTTCAGGGATCTGTGACCTGAAGCTGGTCTTCCTTAGCTGACCACTCTGTTCTAGAACTCAATTGTAGAGATAATGAGAAGAGTCATGTGGTGCTCACAAAAAAAAGTTAGCTAGAATAAGAGTCCCATCATGGAGAAGAAACCCACTTTCCCTTCCCACCGCTAAGGGAAGAACCAGAAGTTTTTCTCCCCACTTAGGCAAAGTTTAGAATTTAGCATGGCTGTGTCAGAGGGCAGGTCTAGAAACTTCCTCCTCTTCCCCACACCATTTTTTTGGTCATGTAACTCTATTTGTAACTCTATTTGTTATAGGAACTTTTAACAGCTATACATGCAACCCTGCCAGCATGGATAGAAGGGGTGGTGCTAACATAGAAGAATTGCCAAATATAAAGATACATTTAAGCAGGCTCTTTCCCCTTACTCCTTGCCAGTTTCCTCAATTCTCAGTGTGCTGAGGCAGAGTATTTAGGGACTTTTCTGGCCTTTTTCAGTCTGCATGTCTTTCTCTTTAGTAGCTTGGCCTGGGAAGGAGCAAAGATCTATGGTTTTCTGGCTATTGCAATACTCATAAGGTGCAGATAGTTTTCATTCAGTAGACCCATATAACTTGCTGTACCTTTTTATTAAGACAAAACCTGTATCTTATTGGGATCTCAGTGAGATATTTTCTGTGTATTCAAATTAGGAAAAATACTGAAGTGTTGGCTGGCTGGCTGGCTGAGTGTAGGTCGAAAAAAAGAGTGAGAGTGCGAGCAAGCAAAAAAAGACTTTGTGGGATCTTCTTGGTACATATATATTATAAAAAGCGTAAAAATTACATTCAATTTAAACTGTAGTGTTCAGGAAATTAGTGCTCCCTAGGAATCCTAATGGCACACTTGCATCAATATCTGAGTTATCTTTTGATATTGAACTAGAAATAGATTTGTTATGTTCACTTGCTTATCTTCCCCAGTTTGTCAGCCACCTTTTGATGAAGTAACAGTATGGTTACTGTAGTAGAATGATAATAAGTGTAAGGGGCTGTCAGCTCATTCCAAAATATATAGAAGCTTCACTACCAGTTTTTGAGGTTTTTCTGTTTTAGCTCATGGGGCCATGTGGCCCTCTCAGGCAATAGCATATTTTCATCAGTAATAGCATCAGCACTGTTGTTGGTTAAATGGAAACAAAAATTGTCCCTCCTCACAGTTTCCCTCACATCCAGCCTTCTGCTTCCTTTTCACTTCAAACATTGATCAGCCAAGCCTCCAGATGCCCTTTAACATACTTTTTCTTTATTTTTGGCTTTCTGTCATTTGACATCCAACATTGTTCATGACAGAAGCCGAAAAACACAAAGATAATGACAAAAAAAAAAAAAGTGTGCCCCAAATGCTGCATTATATCTGTGGAATACATGTAATATCTCCTTCTCCCACTGCACCCTTTGCATGTGAGCTAGTCACAATTGGCTGTGTCTACATTGGCCCCTATTCCGTAATAGGGATGCAAATGTAGCACTTTGGAATAGGCAAATCCACAGGGGATTTAAATATCCCCCGCGGCATTTGCATTAACATGGCTGTCACTTTTTTCCGGCTTGTAGATAAGCCGGAGAAAAGCGCCAGTCTGGACTTTCAACCTCCAAAAAAACCCAGCCTTACAGAAAAAAGCCGGAAAAAAGCGGCAGCCATGTTAATGCAAATGCCGCGGGGATATTTAAATCCCCCGCGGATTTGCCTATTCCAAAGTGCTACATTAGCATCCCTATTACGGAATAGGGGCCAATATAGACGTAGCCAATTGAGTTCCTTGTGCTCCCCAGTGCCTGACTACTCAAAATGGGATATGCAGGGCAAGTAGTCTATGACCCTGCTGGTCACCTACTGAGTTTATATGGGAGCAACCTACTCCACATCCTGTAAATGTAATAGCAGTCAGGCATTGGAACCCTGGCTATGTCAACCAGAATGCCTTTAGAATGCTTATTTTTAGTGACTCGGCATCAGTTCCTCCCCACTGCCACTCTAATGCAGGCTTGGAGTTAAAGTATTAGCATAGCCTACAATGTGATTTCTGTTTGCTTAATGCTTTGCTGTTTGATTAAAGGTTTAACACTCTGAGCTTTGCTAAACGATGTAATTTTTCCATTTTGAGTATGTTCTGTCTTTTCTAAAAAAAAAAAAAGTGCTTTTTCTTCTCCTGTTTGATGCAAAATATCCTTGTGTTCTTTTCACAGTGAGCTTCATCCAGATGGACTGCCACGGGCTTACACTATTATACTGCTGTTCCGCCTTCTTTCAGAAACCCCCACTGAGCCATTTGCAGTTTGGCAGATTACAGACAGAGATTTAAAACCGCAAGTTGGAGTAATTCTTGACCGTAAGGACAGTTTTACTTATTGCATAGCAAATTTGTATATAGGCGTTTCAGTTGTTTTGCCTTCAAAACCAAATATTCCTACCTGGAAAAAAATATTGCTTTGTGTTCTATAAGAATTTTAAAATATTATATTTCAATTAATTATTCAAAAATATTTTAAAGCACGTTTTTTAATTATTGTTATTATTATTAGATCAATGGATTGTACACTTTCTCAAATCCAGGTCTTTAAAATTATCCTAGTAATCCCTCTGTATAAAAGTATACATGGCAGATCTGTACATATGTATGTATATTTCTAATGTGGCAGAGTTCTCGTCTTTGAATAACATTAGTACTGTGCCCCAAATTACATTCATTTATTGTATTTTCTTGTTACAGCTTCCACCAAATTACTGTCATTCTTTAACAAGGATACAAGGGGAGAAGTTCAGACAGTAACTTTTGATGATAATGAAGTAAAGAAACTCTTTTATGGAAGCTTCCACAAGGTAAAGGATTAAAATTATATGCATATTGTTTTTCAGAGTGCTTCTCTGTTAAACAAACAAGCAAACAAAAGAGCGGTGGTAGCTATACTTTATACTGAAACATAAATTTACATAGTATTTTTCAAAGCTCCTATTGATCTCAGTGGAAATGTCATGGGGTCCAGTGTTAGAATGAATGTGCCAAAGGTGTGGAGGGAGAGCCATCTGTGGACAAGAGGCTGGAGACTCTTCCAAACATGTGAGACAGCAAGAAAATTGTGAAGCAGAAAATAGGGAAAGGAATCTATAGAGAGGAAAGATTGGGAGGAGCTTTGGGAATGACAGAGAAAAGAAATAAAGCATGAAGAAATATGTTTGGGTGAGAGACTATGCAGTCATTTATGAGGCATCTGTAGTTTAAAAGATAAATAGCTATTTGAATTGGAGTTAGGTGCTTAACAAACATAATACATGTAATGACCAGTAATTATACTAAGTGCATTGGCTTTTGAAATATTGAGTGTAAATTATTCAGTATGAATTTTCACAAAGGTGTCCCTCACTTAATTAAGAGCAGATTACTGTATCTGGAGAAGTCTCAGAAGGGGTACTCTATAACTTAAAAAAAAAAAAAAGCTTAAAAAGCAAGTGTTCCTGTAGCTCTTTAGCCCTGGTTTACACTAGGGAGTTATTTTGAAATAACTCCCCTTATTTTGAAATAACAAGCGGAACATCCACACTACCAAGCCCTTTATTTCAAAATAATAACTTGTGCTTGTCATGAGGAATAATGCTTATTTTGAAATAGCTATTTCAAAATAGTGTAGTGTGGATGCTCCACAGCTGCTATTTCAAAATAACTACTCCCCAGAGTCATTCAAAGTAATTACTTCCCAGTGTTTCCTGGTTCTTTAAGTGGAGGTAGTGCAGACTAATTTTGAGGCTTCCGGTAGTATGGACACACTATTTCAAAATATAAATCTGTTAGTCTGTAAGGTGCCACAGGATGCCTCCTTGCTTTTGCAGATTCAGACTAACACAGTTACCCTTCTGATATTTCAAAATAGTTATTTCAGGTGTTATTATTTCAAAATAAGTTATTTCAAAATTATTTTCTAGTGTAGACAGGCACTTAGGGTATGTCTGCACTAGCCTTCGAACTAGGGAGGCTAATGAGGGTGACTGAAATTGCAAATGAAGTGCGGAATTTAAATATCCCGTACTTCATTAGCATGTTCCTGGGTGGTCGCCATTTTGGAAATTGACGAGCCCGGAATAACTGCCCGCATCTACACGCGGCAATGAAATGGGAGTTCGAAGTAATGCCCTAACTCGAATTAGCTGTTATTCCTCCTGGAATGAGGTTTAACTGCTAATTTGAATTAAGGGCTTTACTTCGAACTCCCGTTTCACTGCCGCGTGTAGACGCGGGTGGTTAGTCCGGGCTAGTCAATTTCCAAAATGGCGACCACCCGGGAATATGCTAATGAAGCGTGGGATATTTAAATGCCGCGCTTCATTTGCAATTTTGGTCGCCCTCAGTAGCCTGCCTAATTTGAACTAGGGGGCTAGTGTAGACATACCCTAGACTAACAAAAAATATAAATAGGTTTCGTGGACACAACCTACTTCTTAAGATGACAAATATGGAGCAAGAGGCATAAGCACCCAGTGGTTGATAAAGTCTGTTTTCAAGCATGTTTTCTTGAGCTGGAACTCGGACTTCTTTGAAAGCTAGCTCCAGAATCTCTCCTGTCTGTATCATCATCTTCAGCTTCCAGCATGTGCATAGAAGCTTTGTTCAAATGTTTTCCAGTTACAGCTGTGCCTTGAGTCAAGGGAAATGAAAACTTGCTTGATTTCTCAAAATTAAGATCTGTGCCAGCTCGTAGTCAGCCTTAGGCTCATTTAGATGAATGAGGTAAGTGTATCTGTTGGTTGAGCAGAGCACAGAGAGTCGGGAGATCAGAATTCTATTCTTCTGTATGCAGCCAGCTTAGTCTGGGAACTTGATTGATTCCTTTAACTTTTCACTATCTCAGAATACCCATCTGTAAAACGCACCCAACACCAACTTTTATAATGTCTCTTTGATATAGTTAGTGTGTGTGAGCAGGATACATATACAACAAATACCTCTGCTTCTTGTTTGCTATGCAGGGGGTTGGCACCTGAATAGGCAGTGGCTTAATAGGAAAAATATAGAGGGGAACATTGGGTCAAAAGAAATAACTAATGTAAATACTATATTTTGACTAAAACCCAGAGTTTCAGAATTGTATAATGCATAAATAACGAGATGTTTAACTGTTACCCCAGTTTCACACAGTTATAGTAATTTTATGCACAGTTTACGCATATCCATTTTTTTGGCTACTTATTTCTGAAAATTTGATCTGAACAAGGAGTTGAAAGAGTCTGGCCAAGACCATATGAATACATAGTCCTAAACATCTCTTTCTACTTTTTTAAGTAGACCACAAAAATGAGTTACAATGACATTTTCAGTCAGCTGGAATATATGTCCTCTTTGCTTTTCTTTCCCTTTTCCTTAGCTTTCTTCTGACCACTGCATGTGGTTGCAGAATATACCTTTATTGATACTAAAATAAGATTGCTACTATTGCTAGCTGATCCAGATCTTATTGTGACCCTATCCTACTCCTAGGGACCTCAGTGAAAGCAGACTAAATTTTTTTTTTCTGTAGTAACTGGAGGGTTTTTTTGTGCCAGCATTCTATGTTGAACCATGATCCTCACACCTAATTAAAACACAAGTGAATAAAAGTCGCTCACTGCTAGCTTTTTTGCAATTTAACAAGCACAGTCTACTGCCAAAAACATCATCTTGGGTACATGTCCTTTCTGTTGTAGTGAACTTTTCTTTCTCCACTTTAAGAAATGTTTATCCCAGGGACTTTGGGAAAGATGTCGTAAGTGGGTTGAATCACAGCTGCATAGGACCTAAATCTAGGGTGGTCTCTTTTTTTATGCTTGTCCTTCAGCCCTTTGTCTTTCTTTCTGTGACAGTTCAGTAACATACTTGAACTTTAAGTAGTTTTGTCCTTATACATAAATGGAGTAATACTGTCAATAAAATGTAGTATAAATATTTTTCTTGGCCTTAAAGTAATATGCATATTTATAACAAAAATCACTTATAAAATGCATACCGTATTAGCACTTAATATGTCTTATTCCAGATGTCAGTCTCAGAATTCAAACTTCTGTTCTAGAGGAATATAAAATACTTGAGTCATTTGTCTAAAGCTCTGAGCGCTGGGCTGCCAATGTTCATTTGCGGTTACCATCATTAAAGACATTCACAGCCAGCAACATGTTGTTCTTAGCATTCTACTATGAATTTAGTAAGGGTGACAAAGTTCTCTGATATTGCTTGTAATAAAAATCAGCTTAGAAATCAGAACTCATGGAAATAAAAAGATAGGGAGCTACTTGTGTGCATTTACTACATTTAGGAAGGCAAGATAGGAATGCAGCATTCGATGTTTTTGTCATTAAATAAGTACAGATACTTACCAGACCACCAATAATTCAGGAGCAGCAGTCCTTTGCAGTCTACAAGAAAATCCAGGTCCATAAACAGGCTACTAAGTTATTCTATAAGGGCAATTGAAATATGTATCTGTTCTTTGATGGGGCAGAATGTTTCGTTGTGCCTTAGTCCCAGAACTGAATCAGTAGGCCAGATTCTGAGATTATTTATACCAGCATCGATCTGGAGTAATTTTGACTTCATTGGAGGTATTCTGGATCTCACATCAGCATAATTGGGATCAGAATCTTGTCACTGGACTTTCTCCAACCTGACAACTGTGTGTGAGTCAGACTCTTGATGATGGCTTGATGGGACTACCCTGCTCATCCACCAGGAATCAAAGACCCATGTGCATATGAAGGGATGAATGCTATGTCAGACATGTTGATTATTAATATAGTATAATTTTAGATGTCTGAATGCACTGTATCTGAAAATCCTAATTATCCAAATCGACATGTTGTCCCTATGGTAGTTGAAATAATATTTGTTTATTTGAACACCAATTACTTGAAAGTTTTGCATTGGAATAAAGAAGAGTGTATGGTAAAAAAGAATATTTGCACTTTCAGCTAGTAGAAATTCTTGGGATTTGGAAGGAAGGTATCTCTTACACATTTTAAACTGAACTTTAGAATTTTTATCGCTATCCAGTATGAAAAAGATGATAAAACTTTAAAATATGACCAAATGTATTCCAAAATAGAAACCATTTTTGTGGTTTTCATTTGATGACTTACAGATTCATTCAGTGAAAAGCAGTTAACCTACACCTAATGGTACAAGGGAAATTAATGTCGGCATATTGGTAGGCTTTGTGTAGTTTAGCTATGGTAAAGACTATTGAATCTGGCAGGTCCTTTAGGAAAAATGTTGGCTCCTGGATTCAGCCATTAAAATTACATATAAACTTCTTGGAGAGACACATTTCTTTTATTGTTCTATGCTAGATTTTCTTTTAGATTACAGTCTTCCAGCAGTTGACTACAGAAATTTTTGTAACACATTTATGCCTTTATTTCTTATGATGTGAGTTTTTAAAATAGGACAGTAGTGTATGTAGTTTGTTGATATAGCTCAGTTAATTGGAGCTAAGAAAGCTAGTAACTTTTTGGTGCCAGAAATGGCAACTGAACTGAGTCAGAAATGATGTTGTACATATCTGGTTAGAAATTGGAAGAAATGTTTTTCTTAAAGTAGAGGATGTTAAAAAGAATTCAAACTGAAAAAAATCACATATTTACGATTTACTTTAGGTAAACACGCAAACATTTTAATTACAGATGTGACTGAGCTATGAAATTCTAGCCTGGATTCCAAGTCAGATCTAATGATGACCTGGAGAGGGTTCTCAAGTGTCAATGAGAAACCCATATTAAGTTTTCACTACAAAACTAAAAGGAACCATGGGGTATTTTTCCTATTTTGAATGGGGGTTTAATAGTACAGCACTGATATAAACATTTCCAAAGTTCATTGGCATTCATATTCATTGTTCTAGTTTGTACCCATCTGTTTATAAGTTGGTAATATGGTGTGAGACTTAATTGCTATATGCAGATAAACTTTTGGTGCAGGTGAAAAATATGTGCACACTTTAAATATATATTAGTTCAAGTGAATTATATCTATGGTACGGTTAAATTTAATATACAACTGGTAAAAGTTGTATGACAGTTGAATTGTGTGTCAAATACTGTATAAGAATAAATTTAGGATCTTGTCATAATGCCTGAAATTTATTGTTATGGGAGAATTCATCACCATCCAGGACTATATATCCAGTTATCTAGCCATAACATATTTTGGGCATGCTGGATTATACTTCTATTCTTGTTTTGCAAAATGTGTTCATTTTTTGTTCACTTCACAAAAATTGTACTAAAAAGCTCATAGTATATGTAGTATTATTAAGTTGTGAAACTAAGTGAATTTTAAAATGACCAAAACATGATGGTAGTTTGTAAAGTCTTTATTCTAATGATATAAAGTAATATATATTGTTTGGAGGGTTTTAGGTAAGCTAAGCTAATGTCTTTGAAACAGCTCCGCATGGAAAACAGCTAATTCTCAGAAGATTGGCCAGTCACTTGTAGACTCAAGACATTTAAAAGAATTTCTGTTTCTTTAAACTTTATGCCAAACTTTTTGAAGTAGTCATCATATACACTGTGATAAGAGGAAAATTGGAACATAAATAGGATATACTTTAAGAATTGTCTACTTCTTAGCACTCCTAAACTGTAAACATTTAACAGGCAGAGTTATGTGGGACCTGTGAAACCTTTCTATTGCTCTGGGTCATGAGTAAACTTATGGGCCTCTGGCCAGTATTGGCCAAATTCGGTAAATAGGCAAAACTTCAGATATAAGTAAGAAGTCAGTGGGCAAATCATCTTTGTGATCAGCAAGCCCTCCAGTAGGTTACAGAAACATTAAAGAGTAACTCAACTTGAAACAAAAAAAGGAGCGTGTTTCTGATAGCTCATCTGTGTGTCACTTGTTTCCTGATTCTTGTGTCCCCTTTACTGTTGGTGCAGTGCTTGACCCCTCTGATCCATAGATAAACATAGTGACTGAGGGAATTCAAGCTGTAAAGGACTGAATATTTTGGAGGCGGGGCATTCTTTCATTTTATTCATTCACAATCTGGGTATTTAACCCTGTACAGTCACAGCAGGACAAAACAACATGTTTTACATATATTGCTTCTTTACCTTTAATTACCTCTGATTTTCATAACAGACTTCATTCTCCTTTCACCATAGCCTTGTTTCCTTTGCTCCTATATTTCATTTCTTTTGGTCATTCTTCTTTCTCCTACTTTTCCTTTTTTTCTTCTTTCCACTTTTCTGTTCTCTGGTGCATTTGATATGTTTGTTGGTTTTTGTTCCCCTTTTCACCAATCCTTTCTTCTCCCTTCACCAGAGTTGTCTTGTAACGACATTACCTTGACTGACTCATCTGTATGACATGAACACTGGATATCCAGATCTATAACAATCTATTGTCTCAGTTATCAGATTAGATCTGTTAGTTACACATTAGTAGCAGACTCATAAAACTCTTGTGTGGTCCCAGCTCTTACAGCAATATTCATTACGTTCATTTCTTTCAGTTCTGTTCTTCATTAACTTCTTTCCTACCGTCTTAGAACATTTTTATTCAAGCTTTTAAAACTCGTGTCATTAGATTGTGGTAGTTCTATGGTTTAAATTATGCTATTCTTTTATTTCTTGATTTTACTCGTTTATTCATTTTACCAATTTTTCGACTTATTATAAAACAGCCAATATGTGCTCTACTTTCCTGAAATTAGCACTTTCCCCCTTTAGAAACTAGGTTCTGGAAAGGGAATAAAAATAATATGAAAATACATAAAAAGCTAAACATCATTAAAAGTCAAGTATATTCACATGCTTTTAGTTACATTGCTATTTTTAAACCTTTTTTTTTAAGGTTCATATTGTTGTAACCCCAACAAGTGTTAAGATTTACGTTGATTGTAGTGAAGTAATAGAGAAACCAATTAAGGAGGCTGGAAATATCACAACTGATGGTTATGAAGTACTTGGAAAACTGTTGAAAGGTGATCGGAAATCAGCAACGGTAAGCAATAAACTTGTATTTGTTTCTTAACTCAAAACATAATTATTTCTGTATGAACATTGATTTTCTCAATGAAAGGACTTGAATGGACCAGTAAAACACCAGTTGTGGCACCAGATCTAGTACACTTTTTTGTACTGCAAGACAGTGTTCCCTCTAGGACTAGGTCTACACTGCAGCCTTTTGTTGGCAGAGACAATGCAAATAAAATGCTCTTTAGCATGTGTCGGGATGTCATATTCTCTGCCAATGCTTTTTGTGGAAGAGGTTTTTGTGCAAAAACAAGCAGTGTAGACGGGGCCATTTTGCTCAAAAATCCCCTTTTGAGCAAGACTCCTTATGCCTCAAAAAAGGAGGTATACAGGATCTTGCACAAAAGGAGGTTTTTGCCCAAAACGTCCCCGTCTACACTGCTTGTTTTTGCGCAAAAACCTCTTCCACAAAAAGCATCAGCAGAGAATATGCAAATGACAGCATGAGACATGCTAATGAGCACTTAATTTGCATTGTCTCTGCGGACAAAAGGCTGCAGTGTAGCCTAGCTGTGCAGCAACACAACTTCACAGGTGATTTATCAGCCCCTCCCAGTCAGAGGCTCAGGGCTCCATGCCCAGAATTGACTGACCCCAGAATTGACTGACGGGGTGAGACTGATTAATCACCCGTGAAGCTGTATTACAGCACAGTTTAGAGGGAACATTGCTGCAAGAACAAATATGAGAAATTTGATATTTAAGGACTCTGTTGTAGTAGAAAAAGATCTAACAAGTCACAATGGGTGGAAGATGAAGTTAGATGAATTCAGACTGTATATAAAGTGCAAATATTTTAAAGGTGAGGATAACTAGCCATTGGAACAACTTATTGCTGGCACTTTTAAAATCAAGATTGGTTGTTGTTTTTCCCTAAAATATTTGCTCTTCTTCAAAGAGCAATTAATTCTGGGAAGTCCTATGGCTGTTACAGGAGGTTAGTCTAAATAATCACAGTAGTCCCTTTGGCTTTACAATCTATGGTGAATGACTGCTGCTGCAATGAAAGCCATGTCAGTTGTCCTAGTACAATGGGCTCACTATATAGTTAGGGGATAATCAGTACTACTTTTTGGGCTTCATAAGAGCCTTAATTCATCAGTCTAACCTTTTTATATGCAGGCACTAATGGGTTTCTAGTGAGAACATGGGATTAGGTTACAGGATTAGGGCACCATAGGTGAAAGACAGGAAACTTTCATCCTGCAGCCCCATCTAAGGGCAATA